CAGTAAAATATTGCGGTACTGAATGATCGTCGACTGATAGTGCGCGAGCTAGCGCTTGGGATAATTTTCATTGACTATCTTGAAAAAGGTAAAACTATCAACGGCGAGTATTATGCGAACTTATTGCAACGTTCGAGCGATGAAATCAAGCAAAAACGGCCGCATTTGGTTAAGAAGAAAGGGTTGTTTCATCAAGACAATGCACCAGCTCACAAATCCGTTATTGCAATGGCCAAAATTAACGAATTAAAGTTTGCTTGGCTACCTCATCCACCCTATTCACCAGATTTAGCCCCCTCGGATTATTTTCTGTTTCCCAACTTGAAAAAATGGTTCAGTGGTCAAAGATTTTCCAACGATGAAGAAGTGATGTCGGCAGTTAATGGCTATTTTGAGGAGCAAGACAGTTCTTATCATAAAAAGGGTATCGAACTTATTGAACATCGCTGGGAAAAGTATATAGAGGAGATTATGTTGAAAAATTAATACATTAACAAAATTTTTGTGTTTTCTTTGTTGGGTCGGGTACTTCTGGGACCACCCTCGTTAGTGACTGCTCTGGATTCACTTTACCTCTTTTTGTTTTGCTAGGGAACTTGCCAGATAGAAAAGACATATTTTTTGCTTAATAAAACCGATATGTCCTCTGCACCAGCTGATTGTTTATTTTTGAGACTGTGGATTAATAAAACTAGTAACTCATATTCGGTGAATGGTCGCAAGAATACAGTATCTGATTTTCATTTATTAGACATATTTCACACATGGCAGATTTCCCCTTACATTTAATCACCTCTAAATATCGCTTCAACCGCAAGTTTAATGTGTAGTATCCAACGAGGGAGGAGGGGGAGGGCCTAGGAAAGGAATAACAATCTTCTCGGAGAGCCAGGCAGCAATGACACTTGATCAGCTCTAACACGCTGCCCTCTTAAGCAAACTTCCCTCCTGTGGCCTCCGAGAAGAGCTCTGCAGATGGGTGGCTGACTTTATCTCTGGCCGCAAGATATCCGTCGTAATTGACGGTTTCTCCTCTTCACAACGTCAACGCGGATGTTCCCCAGGGATCGGTCTTGGATCCAACTCTGTTTCTCTTACATATCAACGACCTCCTTTCCTGCACGATCAACCCAATCCACAGCTTCGCTGATGACAGCACTCTACATGCAAGGGTTCAAAATAAGACTAGCGACAACTCCCTCTCTGACAAGAGACCTGGAGGCTATCACTGCTTGGGGACGCAACAATCTTGTACGGTGATCTATCGCTACACCAACGGGCTTTGCTCCTCAGAGCTCTCTTACATGATGCCGCCGCGCGATGTGCCTGCCAGACACACCCGCCTGACTTTGGCGTCAGATCCCAACCGTGTCGAACTTCGTACATCCAGAACTGGCCGATTCGACCGCTCATTTGTCCCGAGGGTGTCGAGATTGTTGAACAATCTACAAGAGGAAGCTTTTCCCAGTTCTACTGACGTTAGGCAGTTCAAAAATCGTATTAACAAAATTTCTTTGGGATCATCATAGCAGCCGCGGTGTTCCGGATTGTCTACGATGAAGCGAAAATCAAATTTGCACACAAATTTAGTACGAAGTTAGTTGCTGGCGGTCAAATAAGGCTAGTGCAACGTGTGTCGTTACAGTCACCGTGTAGAGTCGCCTTTAGAGAGTATAAGGTGCGAGGATCAAATAGCTGAGGGAACGCTACATCCTGATGCTTTGTTTGGGATTGCGCTGGATGTAGACCGGTTATGAATGGATTCAAGACAGTTTGCTGTTAAATTAACATCTGCCTCGTAGCTCAGTATTACTAGCAGTAGTTTCGGATTCCTCAAAATCAAAACAAATATGAGGGATCATTTGTGGTTAGAGCATTATTACATCAGTGGGTTTTGCTGTTGGAGAGATGTATTTCGGAGCTTTCCCTGCCTTTTGTTGTCCTTCTTAGATGTCTTGTAGGATCGATGTTTTGCGGGAAGCAGGGAAGTTATCCATATATTGTATGTATCGGCACATTTTTTACATAAACATTTAACAGTACTCACACATTTTGGAATTTAGCTAGTTCTATGTTTTAAGTAATGTTTAGAGATCATCCGTCTGTAAAGAACTTTCAATTTTCAAGTGTTGCAAAGAAAAACTATATAAATGCGTAAAAAGCACTAGTAAGTCTATTTGACACCATCTTTTAATATGTAGCTCACGTATTATCTTTTATCTATAATCATTTAATAATTTGACTGCAGTCTATTTATCAGTAGACCTGATCGGCAGGGGATGGGATGACCTACTCGAATACCTCGCCGTCCAGATCGACTTCCTGAACATCAATCACCCCGCTTCAGAGGTAGTTCTTCTCGGTGATTTCAATGCCCATAATGAGCTTTGGTTGGGCTCAAATAAGACCGATGCAGCAGGTCGTGCAGTCGAAGCGTTCGCTCTTACTCAAGGGCTGACCCAGCTGGTGACGAGCCCTACTTTTTTCCCCCGCGTCTCATCACACGCCAGTAGCCTGCTGGATCTCTTTCTGACCACGCATCCTGCCCCTTACAGCACTGCCGTCCTGTCCCCCCTGGGTAACTCAGATCACGGTGTTGTGGAGGTTAGGTTTCGGTCAGAAGCCGCTGTGGCCGCAGAAACTCGCACAGGCCGCAAAACTTGGCATTACGGACATGCCGACTGGGAGGGGCTCAGAAACTTCTTCTCTAGCTTTTCTTGGAGAGATGTCTGTTTCACTGACGCGGATGCGTCGACTGTCTGTTCTTCAATAACCGAAATTATCCACGTCGGAATGGAGGAATACATCCCTCACACAGTGAAAGTTCCTAAACCAGGGTCCAACGGCTGGTTCAACAAATCGTGTGACACTGCTCGCCAGCAGAAGATCAAGGCCCACAGAACCTACTTACAAAACCCCACTGTAGAGAACAGACAAGCCGACGTCGAGTCCAGAAACAAATATAACGAAGCGGTTCGCAATGCCAAAACCCAGCATGATATAAAAGTTAGGCACAGGGTAATGTCGCAGCGCAATGGCAGTCGGTCTTTCTGGACGCTGGCCAAGCAGATTGAAAAGAACTTCTCACACAGTAGCCTTCCACCACTTACGTGTCAGGATGGAACTATTGTATTCGACTCAAAGGCCAAGGCGGAAGTGCTAGCCAAGATCTTTGCTGCCAACTCCACCATGGACGTCCCCACCAACGCCCAAGTGCCGCCAATTCAAAGGGTTCCCCACACCATGCGGGAGGTAACATTCAGGCATAAGACCGTAAGACGAGTGCTCTTGTCGCTCGACATCAACAAAGCTTCTGGTCCGGACTTGATTCCTGCCATTGTACTGAAGAGATGTGCAGCTGAGCTTGCTCCAGTTCTTTCGCGTCTCTTCCAGATATCTTATGAATCCGGCACCTTCCCAGAAAACTGGAAATTTGCTCATGTACAGCCCATCCCAAAAAAAGGATCTAAAACCGACCCTTACAACTACAGGCCTATAGCTCTGCTTTCTGTTATAAGTAAAGTGATGGAGAGGTGCATAAATCGCGAGCTTCTGGACTACCTCGAACGTTACAGCTTGATTAGCGACAGGCAGTACGGTTTCCGGCACCAACGATCCACAGGGGACCTCCTAGCTTACGTCACGCAACTGTGGAGTAAACTCATCCAGTCTCACGGTGAGGCTCATGTCGTTGCTCTTGACATCACGAAAGCGTTCGATCAGCTGTGGCACGCTGCCCTCTTGAGCAAACTTCCATCCTACGGCCTCCCAGAAAAGCTTTGCAGATGGGTGGCTGACTTTATCTCTGGCCGCAAGATATCCGTCGTAATTGACGGATTCTCCTCTTCATCCCACAACGTCAACGCGGGTGTTCCCCAGGGATCGGTCTTGGCTCCAACACTGTTTCTCTTACATATCAATCCTTTCCTGCACGATCAACCCAATCCACAGCTTCGCTGATGACAGCACTCTACATGCTGGAATTCAGAGTGACAAGCCGATCTCTGCCGCTGAGCTGGAAAAAAGAAGACTAGCGACGACTTCTTCTCTGACAAGAGACCTGGAGGCTATCACTGCTTGGGGACGCAACAATCTTGTACAGTTCAATGCTTCCAAAACACAGTACTGTACTTTGACGAACAAAAAGCGTCCTAGCGCTCATACAGTTTCGATGGACGGTCGAGTCCTACCAAAGAGCCATTCATTTCGGCTGGTCGGAGTCCAGATCACCGAGGACCTGATCTGGCACGAACACATCTCTTCAATAGCTGCAGCTGCTGGGAAAAAGCTAGGCTATTTGTTTAGGGCTAAGAAGTACTTTTCTCCGCATGACCTTCTCACTCTATACAAGGCCCAGATAAGGCCTAGCCTCGAGTATTGCTCACACATTTGGGGTGCTGCCGCCCCGACTACATTGTCCATGCTCGATGCTGTCCAGAGGAGGGCGGTCCGACTGATCGATGACTCTTCTCTAACAGACAGTCTCGGGACTCTTTCGCACCGGCGGGCCGTCGGCGATCTAGCTCTTTTCTATCGCTACACCAACGGGCTTTGCTCCTCAGAGCTCTCTTCCATGATGCCGCCGCGCGATGTGCCTGCCAGACAGACCCGCCTGACTTCGGCGTCCCATCCTAACCGAGTCAAACTTCGTACATCCAGAACTGGCCGATACGACCGCTCCTTTGTCCCGAGGGTGTCTAGATTGTGGAACAAACTACGGGAGGAAGCTTTTCCCAGTTCTACTAACCTTAAGCAGTTCAAAAATCGTATTAACAAAATTTCTTTGGGATCATCATAGCAGCCGCGGTGTTCCGGCATTTAGGCTTCTGCCTGCGCGGCTGTTTCGATATAAAAAAAAAAAAAAAAAAAAAAAAGACAGCAGCGTTCGCCGCAGTAGTAGTCTCTTCGGTCTCCTGATCGGTCGCCGTGCGCTGTGCGTGTTCCAATCCCGTTCCAAGAGACATTTTTCTCTTGGCTGTGGATGTTGTGATTGTCCGTAGGTGGTAGACGGTCTCTGACTGTCGAACGCGGAGGTACCACCCGGCGGATCTCGTAGGCGGGGCCAGAATGTGTGCATGGTGCATACACACGTGTTCCCCCGCCAGAGTCCCTATAGCCCCACGGTACCCAATGGGTGTTTAGGTCTTAGGCCTTCATGGTAGTTGGAGTATAAAAAAATAAGACCTGAAACTTGTAAAAGTATCCTGAAAATTACAGAACTCCTAGTCGGTGTTGCATTTTCTATGTGATTTAGTATATACTCGTATTGATTTGGCGTTGTTAAATTTATATAATCTGTTTGCAACCAATCTCGACATATCATATACAAATGTTCCATTGACCTATTTGTAACATATGGTAATTCCCTAATTGCTGATTTCAGTTGTGTAATTGTTATGATTTTACTGTTACCCTGGGAGAAGTTGATTTGTTAAACATAGTGATTTAGTTTATTAGTGCCTTTCACGCAAGCAACTAATCGTATAAGCCGCTGTTACATCTATGTTAGAAATCGTCAGTACGATATGAATCGTGGCAGCTGCCTGGCAAATACCGAGTGTTCCATATTTGCCGCCTTTTTTCCATGACATAAACGGGGTAATTAAATATTACCCAAATATTTTCCCAATATACACCTTAGGAAAAACCATTGTTATACATGAGAAATCATTTCTTGGCAACAGCGCATCGGCTCGTCTACTTTCATCGCTATTCGTACATATGTCCTACCGTTAACCGCAGACCTGTATCACGAATGAGAATAATAGGCAGATACGCTGTGTTGCCAATTTGAGTAGAGCTTTCCGAATTGTGGGGAATTTAGAGTTAAGTGTTGATTCATTCAAGCTTTTAATCAGCATGGCCTAGACGTTAGAACTTCATAAAGATAACATTGAAGCTAAATGCTGCTGGAGTTTAGTGTTTCGAATATTCAAAGCGGAGCGGGACACTATACTCGTTCAATGGGTCATCAAGCCACAGTCTTTTCAACAAAGAAATTATTTTACGAAAATGCGTTATATTTTTACGATTTTGTCGTCACCAAATCTCTGTTTCTCAAAACGTACGTCTATTGTAGAATTTTCAGCAAACAAAGCAAGAAACGTGATCTAGTATTTACTCAACATTACGGATTTCTCGAAATACATTAAAAATGTGACCTAGATACCTAACTGCCCCAAGCTCTTTAAATATAACACCTTAAACCAGGGTTACCAGGTGCTCAGTCACGTTGATTGTCATGTTGTACTGCGCAAGTCAGCAAACAATCTGGCGTAATAAACGTTAGGAATCATCAGGTATTGCCAGATTCCCGAATACCGGGCACCATAGTAACCGTTATAGTTGTCCTTCAAAGTTGTCAAATCGCCCCTATGGCGCAAATTGGCCACACCAGGCAACTGTGCTATAAACAAACCCTGTTTATCACTACTATTTGATAGTCATATGGCAGTTGTAGCCCTATCTAGCGGTCCATGATTTCTCTCAATACTGTTGTATCTCTACTGGCAACAAGAATAGAGATTACAAAATCATTTATACAACAATATAACGTACAAACATGAAAAATATGATTTGAACCATGAAACATTAATACAATTTTAATAGTTTGAACTTTTTTCATTTTTGGAATACTCTTATGTGGAATCCGCAGCTATTTTTCCCGAAATTTGGGTAGACTTAGATTTCTTAGAAATATGACATATTGGTATCGGCAACTCTGCGAATGGGAGAAACAAATCGCGCATGTGTTGAGCGCATCCGTCTAAGCGGTAGGCGCCAGCGCCCGTTTTGCCATCTGTCTCTTTTATCACTCTTCTACTTTACCCCGTTGTCCGTCACACTCCGACGCTGCCACATAGGATCCTACAATCGAGTGTCTTTCACGCACCTACATACTTTTGTATATTTCCATCTCCCTTCCTCATCATAATGTATAATAATGTTTTTTCCCAAGGTGTATATGACGTTGGGACACCGGTTCCGACATTTTTTCCAGGACAGAAGGGCGAGGAATGGGTTGATTGTCAAGGGATAAGTTACGTTCTTCCGATTATGTTTGGTTGGAGCGTTTTCCTCCGACCTTCCATGCAAATATGCGGGTTGTTTTTTTAAGAGACTTGTGTTGGGTTATCGAAAAAAAAAACTGTTTTTATGAATAAATCTGTATACCACCAGGTTTTAATCTCTTTTGTCTGATGTTCTGTGTAGAAAATCTGTATATGCGGTATTCTAAATAGTAAAACGATCTTTTTTAAATACTATGGAAAACGCAGATCAGACTTATGAAAGGTAGTGTAAATCATAATAAAATGTAAAAGTATTTAGAGAGCATTTCCCCAAAGGCTTGGATGTTATTTAAATCTAGTTTGGAAGTTATTCAGCGAGTGTGCACATCTCTGCTCGATTTTAAATTGAATTCGAAAGTTTTTTCATGAATATGTTACCTCTAGTTACTGCTAAATCAATTGCAGCGAAAATAATATTTACTTTATGAACTGAGGAACTCGCTAAAAACGCTAACGAACTGTGAAAAGAAACCGAATTTCCCTCTTTCTCTCGTAGTAAGGACTGTTTTGCATTTCCACTGAGAATAATCTTTAAATAAACTGTTTGGCTTCCAAGGAACTACCTAACATAGTCTGTTACATTTCCAGTGACATCCTCTGGATATGTATTGATTAGATAAATATTAATATAACTCGCTTACTGGAATTATTTTTACCAATCAACACAACTTGATCACTCGCTCCAACTTTTTTTGTAGCGAAACCCTCGCGTTGGCAGAAGCCTAAATACCAGTGCACCACGGCTGGTATGAGGTGCTGAAAGAAACTAAGGGTAGTAGAACTGGGATAGGCCTCCGCAGTTAGACTGTTCATCTCATATCTTATGAACAAAGGAGTGGTCGTATTGGCCAGTCCTGGGTGTACGAAATTTGACACAATTAGAACATCTGGCAGGCAACTTTCTAAATTTATTATACAGTATGTAAAGTTAGTAGTGGATCAACGGAAGATAGAAGGCCTAAAACCCTATCGAATCAACCCCTCTATGTGTGGCCCGAAATTTTAATGTTCAGGAAATATTTGCAATTTTGTAAAATTTCGGAAAAAAAATTTGGTGGGCACATATACTAAGCGACATATAAATCCGAACATCCAGTTTAAATGGTTTTATTTTAATAAAAGTTGGTGAATGTATTTATCTTACTGTAAATAACAAGTGAAAAAATTTTCAGCCTTATCAGTTGGACATTCCGGTTTTTATACTGCTTTTTTTTTATTCACTAACGCTCTAAAAATGAATATTTCAGCCGCAGTAAAGAATCAACGTTGGCGGATTTTGGTTCTTGACATCCTTTACGATCGGCTACGATGCCTAGAGTACGGAGACCTGTACGATTTCGTCAACTTAGTAAGTTTGATAGGGGCCGTATAGTGGGACTTCGGGAAGCTGGACTTTCTTTTCGGGCAATTGCAGTTAGAGTGCAAAGAAGTGTAGACACTGTGGTTAGGTGTTGTCAGGCATGGCTTCGAGAAGGCCGTACGCAAAGAGCAAGGGGCACTGGACGCCGCCGTAGAACAACAGACCGTGAAGATCGCCGCCTAAGATTATTGGCCTTAAGGGACTGTTTCTCCACTACCAGGTCCATTGCAAATGAATGATTTGCAGAACACGAAAGACCTATTGGCATGCGGAGTTTACCGACGAATGAGAAGTTTTGGCTTGTTTTCATACCGGCCACACTGGGTCCTCCCTTTAACTCGAGAACACCGACGTAATCGCCTTTAGTGGTGCAGACAACGGTCACTCTGGGATCAGGAATGGCTCAGTATTGTCTTTAGTGACGAGTCTCGATTTTGTTTAGGCATGCACGATGGTCGTGCCAGGGTTAGAAGGCGACGTGGTGAAAGGAGGAATCCACAGTTTTTTGTTGAAAGACATGTTCATCACACTGTTGGAGTTATGGTTTGGGGTGCTATAGCTTATGGTTCCAGGTCACCTTTAATCTTCATCAGAGGTAACATGAACGCGCAGCGTTATATCCACGAAGTTCTAGAACCCCATCTTTTACCCTATCTTGACACCCTGGCAGATCCAACTTTCCAACAAGATAATGCCCGACCACATGTTGCAAGAGTCACAATACTTCTTTCAACATAATGTTGTCACATTGTTACCATGGCCACCAAGATCTCCCGACTTATCCCCAATTGAGCACGTGTGGGATATGATGGGTAGGAGATTGCTCAATTTGCAACGTCCTCCTCAGACTCTAGAAGCACTTCGTGAGGAGTTGGTGGTTGCCTGGAATGAGATACCACAGGAGGACATTGACCACCTGATCAGAAGCATGCCTAGGCGCGTTGGAGAATGCGTAGCACATCAGGGTGCATCCACACATTATTAAAGGCCAAAGAGCTTTAAAGCAGTGCAATCATTTTGAAATTTTTATCATTTACTTATTATGCTTCATTAAGTACTTATACAAAATTTTATTAAAATAAAACCATTTAAACTGGATGTTCGGATTTATATGTCACTTAGTATATACTGGTCTCCAAGGTCACCCGATCTAAATCGTCTAGATTTTTTTATATGGGAGTTTTACAAGGGGATAATCTATATATCTGAATATATACGTACAAATGTCAACCAATTGCGCCAAAATTGAAAAGTGGATCAATCGATTTGCTACTGCAGATCATTGTTGTGTGTTCGGCAACAGGTATAGGGTTCTCGTTTGTATTACAATTAGGAAGGTCATTTATGTATACTAAGGATAAAAGTGGACCCAGCTCAGAACCCTGTGGGACGCCACATGAAGCTGCTATAGCACAGGAGGTAGGGTTGTTGAATGTTACAAGCTGCAGTCTGTTGCTCAAATACGATGACAGGACCCTAATGCTACTTCCATGGAACTTGTGATGCGACAATTCTTGTAATAACCTACTTAGTCAACAAGTTGACATTTTATCGTTTTTTTTTAACATTTCATAGGTTTCTTACGTAATAACCCCGCCGGTTGAGGTTGACTTGCCATCGGCTTGCTTTCCGTGAGAACGGCGCCTCAAGGTTATCTGAGGATGGAAGTAGAAAAAATTGTATTTCTCTTTCGACATTAGATGGAGAGACACAAAAGGTGGAAACGAAGGTAGGGTGTAGCCGGCTTTGTAA